GAGGCCTCCTTATTGACATCCATGTTCAGGGGTCTGGATCAGTCTGGTATTGGCCTCCAATTGACAGCATCTAGGGTCGATGGAAAATACCTTTCTTCTGTTTTAAAACTTTTCGTCTTGGGAGGCAGAAAGTTTTCCCCTTTTTATTAGCTTTACAGAAGCATTTCTCTATTCTTGGGTTATTGGCTCTGAGTGAAGGCATTAGCATTCTGACAGTAAGGCTGGTGATTGGGAAATTAAACTAGTGCAGTTGCCAGATTTGTCAATTAGTTCTATAGACATCAACCTATTTGTAGGGAACTTAGGAGCAGTATTGTAGCAGCTCTGGCTTCAGTCTCATAGACTAGAGTCTGTTTTCGGCCTCTCAAAAGCCTCATCCTGCTGACTTGTGTATAGCTACTAGCTGCTGGTTTCATTGCGACCTGGGTTGCAGACAGTGCAGGCCTCTTCTCAGAGGTGGGACACATGCTCAGTATATGAGAACTCTGAACATGCTGGCCTTTCTAGTATTGTACTTTGATTGTACAGTTATCTTACCTATTACCACTTCCTCATACTTAGTGTAGTAGAGCCCAGATTGAGAAATGTTTGATTTCATCTTGTCATACATCTGAGGCCCATCCCTTACTCTTCATTCCTATAAACACTTGAACTCATATGTTAAATGTTACTTGAGAGCGACATTGAGAGTTCCTTTATTTAAGTTGTTATTTTGAAACATTCTTTCTGAGCTTTGCTTTTAAACTTGTTGAATTTGTTGTTATTTTTTTTGCCACTTGAGAATTACTTACTATAATAAAGTTAGTGGTGATTAGAATAAATATAAGAATAAGAAACTGACTGTGTTAAGACATTAGGCATCAATAGTACATAGTTTTCTAAATCGTGCTTCTTTTTTATAGAGTTGGTGTTCCTAAAGGTGCTAAAGGCTCACCCATTAGTGCTTTGCAAAACAAGAGAGCACCAAAGCAAGTAGAGACCTTTGAAGATTTGAGGAGGGATGTATTCAACATGTTCTGTTACCTTGGCCCTCACCTTTCTCACGACCCCATTTTATTTGCAAAAGTCGTGCGCATAGGCAAGTCATTTATGAAGGAGGTCAGTAAGATTTTTCTTCCTAATAGGAAATTCAAATTTGAAATGAAAGTGTTCTGAATATATTTGTTTTGATGAGTATTTCTAAAAGCAAAAACAGAGCAAACATGATTTAAGCAAAGTTGTGTTGAGTAAACTCAGTTTATGGAAAGTCCATTGTGTCCCAGTGGTGACTGTGTTTTACAAGCCCAGATCTAGGTAGATGATTCATCAAATACCTGCCTTAGGAGAATCCATATTGTGAATTGTGTTACAACTAGTGCTTCCTTACTACTCTTTCCCCTTACCTATTTCCTTGTGTTTTCTGCATGCACTTTGAATCTCTAGTATTAGTTGTTTGGAGTCTTTCCATCCTCAAACTACTCAGGGTTCTTATTTCTGTTTTTACTTATTTTTGGTGACAGGGTTGAACTTGGTATTTTGTGTGTTTTAAGTATGTACGTGTTCCCAGCTTATCATTTCTTCTTCTTCTTCTTTTTTTTTTGGTTTTTTGAGACAGTGTTTCTCTGTGTAGCTTTGGAGCCTGTCTATCCTGGCATTTGCTCTGTAAACCATGGCCTCGAACTCACAGAGATCTGCCTGCCTCTGCCTCCCAAGTGCTGGGACTAAAGGGGCACGCCATCAATGCTCGGCCATTTTTTAAAGATTTATTTATTATGTATAGAGTGTTCTGTCTGCATGTATCCCTGCACACCATAAGAGGGCACCAGATCTCATTATAGATGGTTGTGAGTCATCATGTGGTTGCTGGGAATTGAACTCAAGTTCTCTTGAAGAACAGTCAGTGCTCTTAACCTCTAAGCCACCTCTCCAGCCCCCATTTATTCTTTTTAAGTAAAGTTTTTATTGAAATAAATTATATATACTAAAACTAAACACCCATGTGTCCACCACTTAAACCACAAAATTGAATATTATTAGCAATGCCCATACCTTATTCATAAAACAGACTATTTAAAAAACATACATGGTATAGAATATGCATATGACATGTGTCGCCAGTCTTTAAAATGCTTAATTTTTTGACTTGATTAATGTCTGTCTGTCTGTTACCCAATGCCATAATCACCACAAGTAATCAATAGACTATTTTCATCACACATACTGTTTGTTACCTTTTGCTACCTTATTTAAGTTAGTTTCTCCTCTGTGTTGCTGGTTTCTGTCATTATACTTTTGCTTTTTCTATGATTTCATGGAAATAATTATATGTTCTCTTCTGATTTTTTTTGAAATTCATCATTTGAGTTATTACATGTGTCAGTAGTCCTTTTGATAAGTAATATTTCATTATATGGAAACATAGTTACTGATATATTTACCAGGTGATGGATATTTAAGTTATTTCTGGTTGGGGCTGTTATAAAGCTGCTTTAAATATCTATACTTTTGGGAAGCATGTTTCTGCATTGCCAGAAGTGAGATTTGTTAGTGAAATAAATAAGTATATGTTTAACTATAAGAAATTGCAAAATTGCTGAATGTGGTGATGCATACTTTTTTTTTCTTTTTTTCTGTTTTTTTAAGATGTATTTACTTATTATGTATACAGTGTTCTGTCTGCCTATGGGCCAGAAGAGGACACGAGATCTCATTATAGATGGTTGTGAGCATTATGGGGTTGCTGGGAATTGAACTCAGCACATCTGGAAGAGCAGTCAGTGCTCTTAGCCTCTGAGCCATCTCTCCACCCCCTGGTGGTGCACACTTTTAATTCCAGAACTAAAGGAAAAAGATGCAGGAAGATCTCTATAAGATTTTGAGGTTAGCCAGGTTTATATTATAGCAAGCTCTGGCCAGCCAAGGCTACATAGTGAAACCGTCTCTTAAAGAAAGAAAGAAAAAAAAAAACTGACAGTGTCTATGTATTTAACATCTCTGAGAGCAAATATTTGGGACTTCTAGATGTTTCATAGCCTCACTGGTACATGGTATTATAATACTTAATTTAATTACAGGTTACATAAGCTTTGATCACTTGGTAAGTTCCTCACCACAAGATTGCTCTCTACTCTACAGTTACTATTTCTCCCTTTGTAGCTAATATGGGAGATACTTTGAGACTATGTAAATAGCCTATTTCTCATCATATTTTCACTTACCCAATACTGTTGCATTTGAAAAATATTAATGTTCTTATCTCTTATTGCAAGAATTTTTTAAAAAGTGTAATGTATACCACTCTTACATATAAAGATACATATGTAAGTATTGGTACAAAGATACATACTTACTAGACTCGTCATGCTCTCTCTTCCCCATTTTCTATGGGAGCGAGCAATTCTGTTGCTGGCTCTGTTGTGCCAGCTCCATTCTATTCCTATCTTTCATTAATTTTTTTAAGTTAGTGTGCAAAATAATGAGTTCCATTATGACATTTTATACAAATATATCACTTTACCTTGTTCATTCATACCCCATCCGCTTCTCTCCTCACCTTCTACCTTCCCACCTTGATGGTCTCATGGCTCTTGCCTGGAGTCCATTCTTTTCTTCATAGAAGGATAAGGGAAAAGAAAGATAACCATTTTGACCATTCAGGACCTATGGGCGAGAAATGTGTGTCTTGTCATTACTAGAGTTGTGGTAGGAAAATTAGGAAAATGAATCCCGCCCCCCAGTAGTATGAAGTAGAATTTTGGTATGTTTTTGCTCACTAGAATATTTTATCAGCCTGGTGCAGTGTATGCATGTAGTTGCAGCATTTGGGATGCAGAGGCAGGAGACTATTTAAACCCAGGCATTTGCGAATC